CGACCTCCCATTTCTCACAAAACCGGCAGAGGCATCCTCGGCTACGGCAGCATCGGCCGACAAACCGCCCGCGTCGCCACGGCCCTCGGCTTCAACGTGCACGCCTACACCCTGCACCCGCGCCCGACGCCGGAATCCAAGCGCGACGACTCGTACACGCCCCCCGGCCTCGGCGACCCGGAGGGCAAGTTCCCCTCCAAATGGTTCTCGGGCGCCTCCAAGGCCGACCTGCACGCCTTTCTCGGCTCCGGGCTCGATCTGCTCGTCGTCGCGACGCCGTTGACGGATAAGACGAGTCATCTGCTCGCGGCCGAGGAGTTTGCGATCCTGGCCGAGAAGAAGACGTTTATTTCGAATATCGCACGGGGCCCGATTATTAATACGGATGATTTGATTACGGCGCTGGACGAGGGGACGATTCGCGGGGCGGCGCTGGATGTTACGGACCCGGAGCCCTTGCCTGATGGGCACCCGCTTTGGAAGGCCAAGAATTTGCTGATTACGCCGCATATCAGTGGGTTGTCGACGAGTTATGGGGATAGGGTGCTGGGTATTTTGGGGTTGAATTTGAAGAGGCTGAGTGAGGGCAAGAAACTGACCAATCTCGTCAATAAGAGGGAGGGTTACTAGACGATTTTTGGGAGGGAAAACAGATGAGTTGCCGTCTGGTCTAAATAAAGAGCTCCCGGCCTTGAATGAGTTGATGAAAACTGGAAGAAGTTGCTGTAGGGGTAATCCAAGTATGCGTATATGCACTGCGCAATATGAAGCGTACGTGCAGCGGGGTTATAAGATGTTTTTGATTCTATCACACAGTATGTACCATGGTTCTGCCTAGACACAGCACCTTATCAACCTGTGCCAGTCTCATTGACGCCATTGTCCAAATACTTTGACCATCTCATAGCTCACTTCATGTAGGGTATAGACCCTTCGCTGTTTGGTTCTGAAAAAATCCTACTGTAATTATTCAAGTCTTGCTGTCTATCCTGGATGAAACACTTGTTGGTCGACTCTGCGATGCCACCAGCCCCCGCACCACCGGGGGAGATCACGTCCTCTCCCAGCATTAACCAGATTCAAACTGAAGCAATCAGAGTATCGGGTCCTTTCTGGTCAGTCGTATCGTAGCGCGTAGGTGACTGCCCTTCAACAGATTCTGTAGCGCTACGATTGTCGTGAGTTTTGCGGATTCTTTTCTCCCTAGTACAAAGTAAGCATCAAGTCGTTTCTTCTCTCCTCCATTAAGAATGCATACCCATGAGAGCCCAATAATACTCGCACAACCTGCGTCATGATGACCAAGAGCACAACCATGACGGCAGAGTACACATAGCCCTTGGGAAACCTCGGAGCTTCTACAGTAGGGTACACCAACAACGGGATCCAGGCGTTGGTGGACGTGGCGATGGCCGTCATGAGGATCAGGGTCAGAGCTCGCTCCTCGATGTTGTGTTTGAGAATGATGTTGGCCCATCCGTACAGCACCGAGGACACGGCCACGGCGGAGTAGGTGGTGCTGAAAGCGTACCACTTTGCGGCTTCCGGCACATTCCAAACAGCCAGTATGACCAAGCCCGAGAAGTTGATTGCCGATGCCAGAGTGATGGCTGCCGTACGCCCGATCCACAAGTCTGCGCTAAAGTTGATGAAGAGCACGAAGAAGATTCCCAACCCGGGACTCAGCGCAGCCAGGTTATTCATCTGGGCGGTGCTGTATCTACCGAGACTCTTGATCCACAACAAAAAGGCAGCGCTGTTTGCGCTGGTGTTGAAGAAGAAGATGTTCCAGAGGATCAAGACGTAGAATCTCCAGTTGGTAAACACGCGTTTCAAGAGGCTCAGGGAGAATGGCGTGCTCTCGACTGACGCGCCGGCCTGTTCCAGACGCGAGCGTGCCAGCTGGAGTTCGGGCTCTTTCATGAGCAGCTTGTTGGGTTTCGCGGGCGTACCGGGCCAAACAAAGTACCCGACGACGGCAAGAGGGAGTGTGATGATGGCATTGATGATGAAGAGCCAGCGCCAGCCGGCCAGGCCGTGCGTTCCGTCGAGGTATGTTACCGCCGCGGCTTGCAGTAGCGATGCCGTCAAGGTGCCGAGGGTCAGGCCAATGTAGAAGATGCCGCCTCGTCGGCCGATTTCGTCGCTCCGATACCATGACCCAAGGACGAAGTGGACGCCTGGGAAATATGAGGCCTGGTGGATGGTCAGCTTGCATTGAACCTGATCACGAGTGGTTAGATGAAAGCCGGGCTCACTTCAAAAATGGCCACCAGGAACCGGTACGCCATGATTTCCGCATAACTCTGGGCGCGATACTGGAGGAGAGTGAACAGGCCCCAACCAAGATCAAGAGTTGGAACAAGGACATGCATCGGGACTCTTGGGAACAGATAGATGAATGGCAAAAGGCCCACTACGTTTCCCACCACGAAAATGGTTTGGAACTGGACGAGCTCATTGCCGTGAAAGCCGAGCTCATCGGCCATTCCAGAAACGTAGGCATTGTCTATATTTGATTAGCGATGATCCAGCAGTTTTGACCCTCACTTTGAAGAAGAGTGACCTACTGATATTAATCTGATCGATGTACTTGACCCAGTAGATGATGCTGCGAAGGTATGATTAGGCCCGTTGAAACTCGGAAAGAGTATGGAGTTAATTTAATATTTGAGACGTACAAAGCATAAGGGACGATCAGAAAGTCAAGTTTGAGTATCAGCCTTCTCTCTTCTGGACTATCAGTTGGGGCGAACCAGTGGTACCATCGACGAGCCGGGGTAGACATGATGAAGGAATGAGTCGTGTGTTCACGGCAGAATGGTGATGGAACTTCTAAGTGTGGTAACCGTTCTTCAAGTAAACCCAGCAGATCCAAGTCGGTTCCAATGGTCGGACAATATTGAAGTCGTCAACGCCGCATCGGAGCACATCACCGGCAGACGTGGGTCGGGCGTTTCCCGACAATGGCCCAGATTCACACGCCTATGATCATTATTTCGGCAATAGAAAGGATGTAGTTATTCTTCTGATAGCTTATCTCTTAACACACTTTGGGAAATTGTGGTTGGTTGGTTATTGTTCCTTTGGATGTGGTTCTAGCTTACTACCAGGGGTGTTAAGGATGATGCCATTCTTCCTAACATTGCGCGAGCGGGTACGCGGCAGCTGACCTTCATCCGCGCAGAAGACAAATTCCTTATGACAAAGACAGTTGACGTGTTTTGACCAGTGTAACGGCACGGTTTCGAGGATGCATGTAAGTCGGAGCTAAGTGTCCATATTAAGGGTATATGTATAGAACAATGGAGCTGTCATGTCAGACCCCCCAGAATATCGATCCACGGTCTTTTCCAATCTTGTTTAGCCCCTGTAGAAACGTAAGCGTCCTGGATATTAACTCCGAGTCAGCGGATCCAGTCCAACTGTAATTTAAATAACACAACTGCCTGCTAAGGTACTCATTTTGGGAACGGAATTCACTTTTAGGACGTCAGTTTCTGTGTCTTGTATTCTAATTGTTTACTCACAATACCAAGGCTAAGAATTGTGCGAGATTCGTTGACTTCTTCAAGTTGAGGATAGTTCATCCGAATAAGCCTCTTAACTTTGGATAGGTTTGTGATAGCAATATATCTCAGGGATGACAATAGCCATGATTGCAAAATTAGGAACTTGGCCATCGGCAGCGCACCCCTGTCAACAAGTAAAAACTTTATAGTCTATGTTCATGAGTCGCAGAGACCTGCTATATTGTTTCTTTGCAAAGATTCTTTGAAGGCAGAAAACAGCAACAACAGTATCCAAGTCATTTTCAGGTAGCTGTCAATTACATAGAGCGTAAACCGCAGTGCACCGATAAAAAAAAAAACGAAACTGCAAAGTACTTAACGAACATCTGAAATGGCATCAATTTAATTTTGGTGAAGGAGTAACTAACGTAATGCATGGTAATGACTAAATTGGTTGTATTCATGGTGATTTGGCCCAAGAAGGGGCGGTCAATCGTATCTTTTCTCAGCTAAACTATTACGCCTTGCTTCCGGTGGCTCTCGCAGCAATCAAACGCAAGCTTTGGAGAAGCCATCGCCATCCATCTGCTTGCTAGGAGAGTTACAGACATGGTGACCATCGTTGTGACCCAGCGTTCAGTCGGAGAAGAAGATGGGGCAGACCTTGTTGGTCACGTCATCGTTGTAATTCACTATTGGTTTCCTCGCTTGAGACTTTCGATTTGGGCAAGAGGGAGAGCTTACGGGAAACAGGAAAATGAATTGTCCGCTGCCAGAGGCAGTAGTGCAGTAGAGCTGGATGTGGTGCTTGGCAGCAACACTGATCATTTGTTAGCAACGGAGTCTGGAAAAACTGGTGTAGGGTGATTTGTCGGTTCATAAGAAAAAGAAGAGAAAAAGAAGCGTTGAAGCAAGAGAAACGGTGGTAGCCTACCCGGTCGCGGCAGCGAGGAAGAAAGTTATCATGGCAGTGGAGAACCGCATTCTCATTGTGATGTAGTCGATTATTATCAAAGACAGAGATTGGTAAGGTGAATGTTGGGTTGTGGAAGTGACTATTGAATGTCGATCTGAGTTGAGTTGGTAGAGCGAGTGTTGAAGGGATCTATCTGTAGACACTTGACTGCTCAGCTCTTGGTAAACCATTACTTTAGGGCCCAACATAGATGAAGCAATAGTCAGATTCAATAAGATCAGGTCTCCAGTGGCTTCCGAAGTTCTGGGTCTGCTGCAAGGCTGAAATGTGCGATGAACATGTCCACGAGGTGGGTGAACAGGCGTCCACTGAGCCACGTGAGGGAGCGAAACCGGGAGCGAAACCGAGAGCGAGAGTGGGAACTAGGAGTTAGTGAAACTCACGACTCGACGAGTAGTTCCGTTCTAGCTTTGAACCGCCGACAATAGAAGCCTTTTGTCCCCGACTTTGACCATAAAACAGCCATTCTGGTCGATGGCCTGAGTAAACTCTTCATATACGGAAACAGACATCCATTGTCGTCTGACCTACTTTACCGTACCAAGGTAAGTAGACGTAGAACCAAAGTAGACGGCAATACGAGCTTGAGAGACTCATAATCCTTGTATGACCGATTTCAGCATGGATAGCGACCCTGTTAGGAAATGATTCGCCCGTAAGAGACAATTGATATACAATGCTGATAATTTTAACGTGGCCGCTGGCCTTGAAAGTAAAGTATTTACAGAGGAAAAGTATACATGAAGATATCCGATACATCCGGAATGTTATTACATAGAGATTGGTAGCGCAACACGATGCCGCAGTCCGCGGTCAGGTGCGCAACTTTCCTTTCTCATCGCTGAGGTTAAGTCAAGTCGACGTCATTCCATCAACTTAGATGCACTGGGAGTACCAGTCGTTGTAAAACTGACACTTTCCAGACGAACAGGTGGTACTACCGGAGAAACCCTTGCCACCGCACTGGCCCCAGAGAGCGACCGCGCCGGGGATAGCAGCCTTGGAAGGCTTGGGCGCAGCAGAGGTAGATATCTTGGGAGCGGCGGAGGGAGCGGCCTTGACGGTACCGGGGGTCTCTTCAGCAGTGACCTTTGTAGCACCAGAGGAAGAAGAGGAAGCGCTGAGCTTGCCCATACCGGCGTTGCTGGGGACGCTGTTCTTGATCTCGCTGCCAGCTGCGGCGCTGGCGATGGTGAGGCCATGAAAGTCGTTGAAGAAAGAGGTATCAGTATACTTGAACGAGTCGGGGGTGTCCTCGAAAACATTGACTTCGCAAGCTCTGCCGAGCGCAGTCTTACACTGGGCGGCGGTCGTCGCGTCAGGGGCAGTGAAGAGCTTGCCCTGGTAGTCAGAAACGAGCTGCTTGACGTTGACGAAGGCGTTGCCCTCAAAGATGCCGCGAGCCGTGGCGTCGCCACCCTCAATGGCGTGTCCCTTGGTGTCCTCCCACACATTGTTGACGGCGTGAAGCAGGGTTGAACCGCTCAGGGCAGGACCACGGCCGGAAGTCATGTACACGTAGTTGTTCTTCATGGTGATTTGGTCGGCTGTGCCAACCATCTCGAAAGTCCAGTAGTGGTATCCATCGCAGCCAGTGGAGTAGGTAGAGTTTCCGTTGATGAAGTTGTTGGATAGGGTGATGCGCTTGCTGGGGGTGAAGCCAAACACGTAGTGCTGGCGACCGGGGCGGGTAGTCTTTGGTCCAAGTCAGCTTCGAGACACGAATAGCTTTGACAAATGTCAGAAGGTCGCCTTACCGTGACATGATCGACCCAGACAAGGTCAGCCCCGGCGAACGACAGAGCGTCACCTCCCCAAACGTACTTGTGGTTCAAGTCAGTGATCTCAATGTTCTGGATAATAACATTGCTGCCCATCATTCTCAAGCCCTTGCCCTTGATGACACCCTTGTTACCGACACCGATGATGGTCTTGTTAGACCCAACATCGATAGGCGTGCGGGCGGCCTTGTACCAAGTGTCCGTCTCCTTGACGGCGCTGCCGCAGTCGTCCAAGATGATTCTCTGGCAAGCGGCGCCGGTGCCCCAGTTGGCGCATGCCGTGCCGGTCTCCGTGCCCTCGGACTCGGTAAAGTCATACTCCTGAGAAAGAGCAATGACGCGGGGCTCGTTGTCGGTCAAGTACTTTTTCAGCTCATCAATATCCTGGGGAGTGACGGCGGCAGCGCTTCCACCTCCAGTAACCCCGGCCGCAAAACCTTCCGCCTTTCCGATCACGGTCTGGGCTGAAGTCAAATTGGCAACGACCGCCAAGACCGCCAAGATGGTTGAAGCCGACTTCATTGTTATGGAATGCGGATTCCGCGGGACTCAATTGAGAAGGGAAATTGTTTCAATAAAGACTGAGGCCGAGAAAAAAAAAAGCAGATGGCGAGTTCCGGAACTCAACGAGTGGACAGTCTTGAAGCAAGGTGCCTCAATTCAAGACAAGAGTAAAAGAGTGACTTGGTCAGAAACACATCAGTAGCAAAGAAAATGAATGAAGATAATTCAGCCTCAACGGGCGCGTGGAAGAAGGCAGCCTCTGATAAAGTGCCGATGTCAGCCGTTTCTTGCATGCGAATACGGCAGAGAGGATCAGTCTCTATCTGGAACAGACTACGCCTGTCACTTTAATCTCACTAACCGATTGAATTTGTGTAACGCGCTGCTTCAAGAGCCCTTTGATTGGCTGGGTATAGTTTGACATGGAGCGTGCGCCCTACGCGCCCCCTGAACGGGACACCACATCTGCTTAATCGAGAGTAGTGATGTCTCCTCCACGGCCCCATATGCCGAATTCGAGCAAATACGGATGAACGGTGCCTTTGCTATTAAACTCGGCTAGCCTACCCGTGTCAGGGGAATAAGCCTAATACTATGGTCTGTTCTACTTGGGTACCACGTGGGAGTTTCGACACGGCTTGCGCCCGAAAAGTCTTACTGTAGAAACTCGTCAAACTCGGATTTGCGCTAGTCCGTGCTCCTATTGTTTTACTAGGCAACTTAGCCTTCTCTTCGGCTCTTAACCTTAGAATGCGGCGGAGATCGGCGTGTTTTTGGTACAGAATACAGCTCAACGCATATCCTAGTTTGGCAAGTATCTACGGTAACAGCGCGGCCTTTGATATCTGCAGCGATTTTCGTGTCCAGAGATGACTGGTTGTTGCCATCATCAATATCAACCCGGGGGAATGGTCTGTGGTAAAAGTGTTCTAAAGTAGTGTCTAAACCCTTGTTGCTGATGATGACGAGCTCATCGGTGGTGCACTTAGAGTACGCTCGGGCTTGCGGCTGCAGTTCATCTAACCTGCCTGGACCAGGTAATATTTTTGTTTCCTGCGCAAATTTTGGCCGCCTTAATATCAGCTGGTGGACTCGTTCATTGTATACCCTCCCTGGGATGTGGGCAAGACAAACACCAGCCTCGTCACAAACCTGTCAATCTCCCAGGGTGTCTTGATCGATATGTTCCTAATATCGTAGCTGATGTTTGCGGTGCTCATGTTGGCTGCAGATCAGCAAAAGGCGACGAAAGGCGATGTGCCTGGCCCCTATCAGAATCGGAGTAACATTATTTGGAATCATGAATCATGATAAGCGGTAGATAGATTGTTATTGAAATCCTTCTCTTCAGTAGAGTAGTAGATGATGACGCATCAAACAGCTGGCTGTTATAATGGAGCCTCTATCAATCTAGCTCGCAGTCTTGGCTCGGCTGTTGCGGGCAGAAGCTTCCCAGGCTACCACTAGATCTACTAGGTTGGTCCCGGTATAGACGGTGTCCTTGTGGCCATGTACTATCGGTTTGTCAGTTCCATCCACTATGAAGAGGCGAACCCTGGACAGGATCACGTTGGAGCAAACAAAGTCTTCCTGACGGTGCTACACTACCCAGGGACATGTAAAGTCATAGCCATACTGCACAAATAGTCTCTCCTTGAATATGGACCATGTTCATGAGGCGGGAAATTCACATAAAACGGCAACATCTCCAGCAGCAATTGAACCAACACACCAACATCACGGTCCATATTTTCAACTTGAGAAATGGTGAATAAGACATAGAGACCAGAACCAAAGGCATATAGAAAGGCGCAAGCACAAAGCGGCAGGCGTGGTACACTACAACCATTACTTAGACCACCGTATGCGTCCAGAGAGGGAAAACATTTTACCATCCAATCTCAGTGAAACCCTTAGAAGACAGTCATTTTGGGAGTAATCTCCATCACGCCTCGAGAAAATTATCACACCTATGATATCATTCATGACGTGTTGGGTAGGTACGTATAGTTACAAGAAGTTGAATGCCAAAGACATCGTACTTTCTTGTAGTTTCTCTCAATTTAGTAACCTAACTAATCAAGATAAACTTTGCCTACTCAGACTCGAACACTACTATGGTTATAAACTTTTCGAGTGGCATAACCCTCTTATTCAGGATCACATCCATCCATTACTTAATATAGTTTTCCTCCCATTGAGGCTGGCTGGGCCACATTGTGCCCTTTAACGGAGCGGAGAACTATTTACGTAGCGGAAGATGCAGTGCTTCAAATGATGGCGGTCGTTGGCGTAGACAAATTTCCAGGCCAGACGAACATACTCAGCTCTGTCGCATTGACGGGACGTTCTGCGAAGCTCGTTGATAGGGACACTTTCGATAGCGGATTCGTCCTGGACTAAACATGTCCACGATCTGTCCGGCTCAGGCCCCATACTACGATCAGAATTTTTAAATCGTGAACGTTGTCGAGTAAACTCGCGTGTTTGCTCGAGTCGAAACTTACGCAGGTTGCATAGGTCAGAAGTTACTGGGTGGCACTTATGATAAGGCATTTTCACGGGGTTTCGGGCATGAAGCGTAGCTGATGTGATATTTTTAGAGAGTCCTAGCTTAAAGAATTAGCAGCATGGATCTGTGCTAGACTCCTTTCAAAAGACATGCATATCCGGTTACCAAGCTATCAGGGACACCAGATGAATATCGAATTTCATGGTAGAAATTGGTCTTAGTCTGAGAGGTTGGCGCCGAAGCTCCTATACGGAAAGTTTCGAGTTGTCATGTGTAGTGTAAATATGAGGCCTTTATCCTCTTGCACCAACAGTCTTTTGCCGTTTTCGAAGGTTACAACAAACGTTTCCTGATTTCACTCGAGATAAAACATAGATAGATTTATTACCTATAGCATTGACACATGATGTAGAGCTTCTTAATCTATTATGCCAATTGTAAGTCCAGTTTCGTGGTTGAGATATTTAGCTTCCTAAAGCCGTCGCAGGTGCAAGTGGACTCAGACCGTCGCCAATTTTTTTATTTAGAGTCTGAAGCTTGGGCAATGATCTTGTGTCAAGAAAAGCGGTTAGCGACGTTCGGATGATCGTATTATCCTCTCTAAGTGCTGCTTTTAATTGGTGTACAATGGAGCAGGGGAACTTACTTTAACTGCAAGGAATCGAATTGCCCCAACCTTGGACTGGAAGACGATGGTCTTTTGTGATAGTGACACTTGTTTCGGCGCCGCTCCATTCGTTACGGCAGTTGGCGGCACTGATTGATCTTGGTGCAATTCCATGCCAAAAGCAGAGCCTTTGGCTGCTGGCGGTGTATACGAAGCAACATATTGTGTTCGCGTCGAGAGTTTTCCCGCCTTGAGTTTGGCGAACAGGCGGAGACACGGCAATTGGCATCAAAAGACAACTTTGATCGTGTGGGCCGGAATATAAGTACGAATTTTGCGTCGTGCCAGCTTGAACCTGTACTTTGTATACGTCGTCGTATGGGTCATCATCGGCCAGCACTTGCTTAGCGGAGAAACCAAAGAACGTGGCCACGGTCAGGGACTTGAGAAAGCTGAGATACATGATGAAAACAAAGAAGATGTGATTCTGAAGTTTGAGGATCCCTATAACACCTTCCCACCCGAAGCCAGTCTTTATACAAAAACGCCTGCATGATAGTCAACCCAATCTCACGGGACATTTTATTTTCCTTAAATCTGTCGTAGTTTGAATGGAATCTCGGATACTTCCTGAGGGAAAACTGTATAATCTGGTTCGCATCAACTAGAGAAACTTTTTCCAGATAAAAAGGCTCGCCTACTTTTAATGGTCGTCACGTAACCCAGTTTAAGGAGAATGGACTCTGAACGACAACAGGGCAAAATGTCTATAATTATGTCAGTTTCCTAGTAGCTTAGAGTGAGCTATCAAAATATTTTGACTTTGTTCAAAATTTCCGCAAATTAGGTTCCTGCAACAGCCACTGAAGAAGGAAATGTTTGAGAATATCCCAAAACTCAAAACGGTCCGTGATTAAATTGAATGCAAAGCTTAACCGGGTATTAATTTTGAAGGTGAAGAAAAAGGAGTTGTTCCATTACGGTCTCAACTTGCAGTTTAAAACTTATTAATGCGCATCACTAACTAAACCAAGCTAGGTCAAGACCCTCACGTGGCAAGTTATGCCTCCGACTTGATTCTACCCACCTTGGAAGAAACTTGTGCCGAATACAGCACGTAGCACACTCGAGCCGTTAACTGCACAGTAATAGCTTCATCCAAGTCCCAAGCACCAGGGGGCACCGTGCAACCTAGGCTCGTGCTCCTTAGGTGCAACTAAGCTATAAGTTAGTGACTTTTAATTACAAACCTTTTGATCAATATCTATAGTTTAGGCGAATAACCCTGTTGGGGAGGTATGCTTGCTACCACCACGCATCTCCGCTTGTTTAACTTAGAATAATTATTTATTATTTTAATATTTATATATCTTAAGTACCCTGTAATAGAGTTATACCTCCCAGGTACCCTAGAGAATTCTAAGTACCCTAGAGAACTCTAAGTACCTTAGAAAACTCTAAGTACCCTAGAAAACTCTAAATACCCTATAATATAATATTAAATATATACTTAGTATAATTAGATATATCTTAATTATTATAAGAGACTAAAGTCTATAATAAATATATATAGAATTAACGATTTTTCACAATTTTAATGATATATATTTTATATATAAATATATACTTTTAGATGTATATCTATACCTTAAAGCTATAGACTTAAAACGTGTTCTCATAAATACGTATCTAAATAACGTTCGAACTAGAAAACCTTTTATATATATATTGAAAAGATCTTTTGAAACTTTTATATAAGGTTTCGTATTCTTATAAAGTTCAAATACTTATATAACTAAATAAATTAGTTAAAACTATATCCAATAACTAATTAAACTTAATTCGCATATAAGCAATATATGCGCTTATATATAATAATTATTAGATTATATATAGAGGATTTTTCCTCTCAGTTTAAAAATTAGGTTCATCGTCAATCCAATCGATTCATTCATCACCTATTTATTGACCCTTTCACTCACTTTTACCTCTTGTACACCCGATTACATCTTACTGTTTATACTGCAGCCGAAAGCATGCTCATCCCCTAAGTCACTGACTTCGATATTTATAATGAGGAGAAGGCAAAGTCTTAAACGCAATGCAAATGCCTGGGAGATGTATCATCGCTCAAGTGCTGTGGCTCATGGAAATCGTCATTTGAAGTGTCCGGTAGACTTTCTCGGAGAGCTTTTCCAGGCAAAATGGTACGCTAATGCGCATAGTTTATGTTGCTAAGCATTGCCTGCGTCGATGATTTTGTCCTGTCTGATCGGTTTCAGAAGCAAGGAATTGGGTATATAGTCTACTAAACGTGTATGCCAAGAATACCAACAACGACTTTGCTATTTCACTTCACGATGCATCGAATGCAGACTTAGTAGCTGAGATTAGCATCGGCCTTTACGCCGCCAACTCCAATTAGAGGCAGGCTCTACTTGGTCAGCCGCAATATTGAATCAACCATGACATCAAGTTAGATGGCAGTCGACATCGTCAAATGGATGTTGGAGAATAATCAAGATGGCCGTGGGAAAGGAGCAAGTGCAGCGACATCACGACTTTATAAATGGGGATCGGATTCCTTAAAAGATGTCCTCCCTCTCATCATTATATCACACAGATCAGTCCTCCATCGCAAAAAAAAGTTGCGCTTTATGCTTTTTTCCTGCTTCTTAGTCACTTACCCAGGGAGTTATCCTACCGCTTCCACCTATCACCAGTCTTCTGAATCACAATGGCCGTTATTGGAGTGGTTGCAACCCTTGGCACCACTATAAGCAATGTAAAGAATTTTTAGAACTAGTATCATCGGCATTGGTCTAATGTCATCGATCAACAAAAGCCCAAGGACGTTGACTTCTATATGTTTCCAATGGGTTTCGGAGAGAATGAAGATGCCGCGGGCAACCTTCCTTCTATAATCTTGTCTGACTTCTTTGACACTCTAACGCTTCTTTCGATTCAATTAGCGAAAACAAAGAAGCCTCGTCTGATTGAGTGATTTGATTTTCACTTATTAACTAAATAATTAATAACAAATTGAATAATCTTACATCTTTAATGAAAGAATAAGGCTTCTATGAAATTTATAGACCTTTTCGATTGTTTTACTAGAAATGAAAAAAAATAATAAAGCTATGACATAATTTGGTTTTAAAATCCTTCTTGTTCAATTATAATTAATATCTTAAAAGCTTTTAACAACGAATTCACTAGACATCGAGCCAGGCGGTAATGCCATTTGCGCGTTCAACATCATTCTTAAAGGCAGTGAAATCTAGGCTAAACTCGATGAGGTGACTTGGGCTTCCAATTCGGTCGCGATTTGAATTAGGGTGCCGTCCTCAACGATGCCTCCCAGCTCATCATCTGGCTCGATGGTCAGCCCGACGGCACCAACACGCCCATCCAATCCCTGCACTTCGACATGGAGAATCTCACCAGCATCTTCAACTAGGAAAAGAACGACAACCTAACCAAGACTATCTTCGAGCAGGTCTGCAAGTACGTTATCCACAGCGTAGGACAGATCGCCAAACGAAACGATGCAAGAAGTGTCTCAACAAGCGCTCTCTCTCCGGAATGAAAGAGATCATCGATACAACTCTCTTCCTTGGAGAGCTCTCTGACTTCTTCAACGGCAAGGATGAGTCGCTGAGTAAATATGCTGGTGCTCCGTTCATTACCTCTGACAACAAGATCTGGGACTTTGCTAAGAATGACTTAACTGCCGTTTCTCCCACGAATGTGCCCGCCAAGCGGTCCAGGCACATTGCTCGACTGGAGCAAAAGAGTGGGCTGGCTTCCACTTTGAAGGGTGAACGCTGTGAGTACGCTGTTGAAGGAGCCGCTCCGATGGGCAATGATGTGAAGGAATTCGTTATTGGCTCTGGTCGATTTTGGACGTTTGATTCTGTGCTCTTATTTTTTGAGGAATAGCTTGTTTTGTCTACATGCAGCCTTAAAGATTTCTTTTATTTCGGTTCCTCCAATGAAGTTTCAGCTTTCGGTATCTTTGTAGAATCATGTTGGCCCCCTGCTCCGTGACTCGACAAGCGAAATATTCCAAGCTGACTGCTGGAATTTGAGGCCTGCGGAAAGTGAGGCACCGAGAGTATGATAAAGCTCCATTGGGGGTCCAGCTTTTCGCAGTTGAAGGGAGATCAAGGTGAAGCTTCTTTCGGATCAGAAAGGTCAAACATTCTTTAAGATGGCAGGGCCTACGGCAGGGGCTGTGGGGGTGTATTCGTCATCAAGGACACAAAACGTGAATCGATGGACTTGCCTGAGCAGAAATACTCCTAAAAAACAGTACATGCATCTGGCGTTTGGTTGATTCCTAGATATGAATAGACAAATGTTTCACTTCATTCAGGGTCGCATAACTAGTGTGCTGGACAATTCTGTTGTTTGTTCGCTATGTTGGGCAACTGCGCACCCGATTCGTCGACTTTTTCTTCCTATAGGGCCATGGAACAAAATTTTCAAATCACCCGATCTCCGCAGCGCTATCTTGCTCAGAAGGCCTGTCACTGAGTACAACCAACCAGATGCCCGCCTGTAAGCTTCAATTACATGATCTAAAACCCTTGATTACTTTCCATTTTTTCACCTCGTCAGACCACCGATCGCGAGTAATTCTGAAAAGGTTTCAAAGTTCATCATGGTCAGCCGCTGCTGGGGAGCTGCCATGAAATAGGGACTAGTATCAGCACAGACGAATACGTTTGCTACGTGCTTTCTCACTTGGCCCCCACTATAACTCATTATATAGACTTGACCTTTTAATTTGTTCGCTTCAGGATAAAGCAAGCCACTTTCTATCCATTTCATATGCACATTGCTGTGTGCTCTGATTCGTGACAGGAGCACCTCCGTAGTGACTCAACGGTTGGGCTCACACAGATCAGTTGTGCTTCTTTCCCAGCTACCATGCCAGCGAATTAGGATAAAAGTCCTGTTGCGAAGTAACCATAATGTCTGAAGGATAAATACCCCCCCTGAAACGCCATTCCCCAGAAGGGTTAGAGCTTGGTGGTTGTCTCACACATGGCGAGGCAGGCAGGCAACTAGACTTTTGTCTTGGCAAGTAAGCCGTCGTCAAACTCTTGAAATTGGAAAAGGGTAGTGGTAGTTTGGTCCGATTATATATCGACATGGAATTGGGGTAAGCTCACTTCTTGCGACCAGGCAGGCGTAAAGATTCCCATTTCACGAGTTTTACGTCTGGATCGGGCTCAAGGAGACCGACGACAGAAAAGTTTGATAATAAACAGACACTTATCTGTAATTCTCACAATCAAAATACATTGCCCTATTCTATTCATCCCTTTCACTACTTGGCTCCTTAATCTCTACAATTAAGCGGTAGCTACCCCTCCTATCAGCATGGATTCCCTTAAAAACGTCGTCTTTACATCTTTCGCCAGCTTTATAATAGTCTATGTCGATTTAGTTGCAAGCATTAAAACCTCTAATGCGCGACGGTTAGGCTTATAAATAGTGGTTCATAAGTTAATAACGTTGAAAGCTACAGCGATATTAATAGGTAGTGTGGGTTTCTTTTCCTGGGCGTAACTAAAGTAGGCAATATTAAGTAGTGGCTAATAGGAGCATCCATTCCCAATTCTGAACTGCCAATCCGGATAATCAGTATACATGCGCTTCCGTGACGGTATTCTAGATTATTCTGCTCTGACGGCTTGGGGTTATTGCGACAAGCTGCGAAACATGGCTGCACCTGGCGCCGGCGCTGCTGGCAACAACATCTACGCTGCTTAAGTGTTCGTCTGCTAATTTTTAAAAATATTTTATTCAGCGGTCTGGGCCGTGTTGTGAGGGTCTAATGATGCTGGGTAGATTGCGAAAACTACTAGTTATCATCAGTGCAGGCAACATCTGTAAAGTAGTTAATGGAACACCATTCTATGTTCGGTGCAACATTGGCTAGGCGTGTCGTAGAGATCTGGATCCAATTATGCTCCCTATTAGCTTGAGATAAGGGCGAAAACTCTATATGCCCGCTCCGTTTCTCGGCGAAGCCGTCAAACACTTTCTACCCCCGAACATCTCATTCTACTTGTACGGCTATGATCTTGACTTCGACACTGCAACTGCGGCAAACATGATGGTTAGGTTGTCAAGAAGAAAGCGGGACCCCTATACAATGATTGTCAGCGACAGCGAAATATAGCCCCGGTCGAATGTTTCGTCTTTAATAAGTCAAGTCTCACAGTAGACGAAACCTAACACGCTTGACATTAGAGGCACTTCAAGAGTGAGCCACTCTGGACACCTTGCATCACGCTGGCACTAGGCACTCTCTGTCATGTCGTGGTTATTGAAGAATACTTGGTTGTTGGTCAATCTGCCTACCAGAACTCAAGTTGTCATCCAAGGCTCATTATCATGGGAGGGATCCATTGTGTCAGTTGATAAGAGTAAGTCAGCTCCGAAACTAGTAAGGACAAGGGATTCACGACTAAAATCGGGCTCTTCGCGTCCGAGATGCGGAGTCCAGTGGGCCATAACTACATGGGAGGGGGCATTGGATGATTCATGCGTCCAAATCCAACTCCGGCTGTCCGTCTCTCGTGCTGCAGAAAAGGAGAGCTTGGCAACGTTGCTGACTTTTTCCAAGTAAAGACACTTTGTCCACTTTGCATTCTCCTATACAGACATTATAGAATGTGCAACCTCGACTCTACTTGAAACCTTACCTTATGCAACAACGCCACCTAAGCACCTGGAACCGAGACATTATCATCCCCCCCCACTATTCGAAGTTCAGAACCCCGATAACCCCGCAGTCATAACCATGGCGAGCACCACTGGCGCGGGGCAGAACGCCGATGTGCGCGTCGAAGTCATCTCACAACCCGAAGACTTCACCCAAGTCGCCGAGGTCGTCCGTGACGCCTTTGGTCACCAAGCGCGCGATGGTGTCTTCATCTCCATGAACCCCGACTGGGACACTCCCGAAGGCCTGGTCCGCAGCGCCGAGCGCATGGCTCACCGCTTAAGCACCGTCAACAAGAACAACAAGGGCGAGCCCAACTCGGTGTACCTCAAGGCCACCGTTCCGGATCCCGAGAATGCCGGCCAGCGCAGGATTGTTGGCATGGCTATCTGGGCGCAGCAATCCGCCGTCGAAGGCCACGGCGACCCGCCGTCAAAGGACTCGATCAAGGAGCTCGGCCTCGAATCCGTCTTCCCAGGAAACGAAGCCGAGCAGCGATACGCCGCAGCGTGCATGAGTTCATTGCACAAGCGACGTAAGGAGGTCATCGCAGAGAAGGCCACGGCGGATCAACCGGCAGTCTTCGTCCTGAACATGTGCTCCGTGGATCCCAAGTTCCAAGGAAAGGGCATTGCTAAGAAGCTGGTGCAGTGGGGTCTCGATGAAGCAAAACGACGTGGTGGACTTGAACTGCTTCTTGAGGCGTCGAGTATGGGTAGACACGTATATGCTAAGTTGGGTTTTAAGCAAGAAGGACCCGAGATTGAGTATGACGTTGAAGAGCAGTTTGTGCATCGAGAAAGACCTTCGAATATCTTTATGAGAACAGGAGACGGCCATTAAGGCTCTGAAGTAGCACATGGATACAACAATAGACCAATTGGAATTATGACGCTGCTGCGAAGCTACTAAGCTGAGGTCGTTTCAGACTGGAGTCAGGGATACACGTGTGCACATGTGTGTTTTAAACGCAATCAAGGTAACTCGTGTGGCTTGACACGTCAGATATGTTCATTATTACAACTCAAAATTTTCTTAAATTCAAGCCAGGAAGGTCTAATGCTACAAAAGCTCAGACACCTAAACGGCGTTGGATGTGGTTTCTGGCTTGGTATGGTGTTCAGAGAAGGGCCTCTCATCACTTGACTTTTCCTTGGGACTGGCGTTGTCGGTGTGAACTGATGCTCGCTGGAACACAGACTCGTCCTTGTCCTTCCTAGTGATATATCCTGGTGGCACCCACTGAGTGGAAGAGTAGGGCTTGACACTTGGGTCGCTGTACATCCTGTCCACGTTCTCAAGGGACAGCATCTTTGTCTCGTAAAGGAAGAACCACACGAGAAAAGCGGCGGCCAGGTTGCAACCGGCAAAGACAAAACCGTACGCAAACGAAATGCCATTGGTTGCAAAAGGCGTGAGGAAAGAGATAAGAAAGTTACCCAACCAGTTGCCGGCGGTTGCAAGAGAGGCCTGTTTGGCTCTGGTCCGGAGAGGGAAGGTCTCTCCAATGACGCACCATGCCATAGGTCCCCAGGTCTGTTCCATAGTCAGCAAACGCAAATTGTTTCAGTAAATGGGAGCAGACTTACACTAGCGAAGGAAGCGATAAACATGCAAGCCGAGACAATCATGACGACGCCGCTAGTTGCGCTGGTTTCGGGAGGAAGAGCAGTGCCGACGGAGGCGAAGATTGTAAGCCAGGCAAATTGCCACAGAGCACCGATGAACATGGGCCAGCGTCTGCCGTATCTTTCGACTGCATAGAGGCCGTAGAAAGTGCATACGACGTTGACGGCACCAAGAATGAGCTGAACCATAATGGGATCATCGATACCGGCCGACTCAAAGATTTGAGCCCCGTAGTAGAAGAAGTAATTGACACCAGTCCTATCAATGATATTAGAGACGATCGAGAGAGAATGGAAGTATTGGCGGCAGTTTTGGTGAGGTATAGTTCAGAGATGGAGGAAGCAAGGGGTCGGATGTCGTTATTTTTCTCGTTGTTGTTGATAACGTTTGAAGCGAGTGGAGTAGAGGTGTGAGATGTATCGACTTACCACTGTTGCAGGAAGTGAATGCAGATACCTAATATGGTTCTGTAGACAGTCTTAGGAATCCCGGAGGATCCCGTAAAGCACTCCAACCAGGTGCCGTAGCCTGTCTTGGATTCTTCCTCGATGACCTTGAACATTTCTCGGAGATCCCGTTCCACAGTTTCGTTATGCGGATCGTCCTTGAGGCCACGGAGACGCGCCATAGACATACGAGCACCCTCCCAGTCCTGACGTCCCGCGAGCCATCGAGGAGATTCGGGGACGGCAAGGATACCCAAGCCCAGTGGGAGGGAGAAGCCAATACCAAGGCCGATGACGATGCGCCATGAAGCATCGGATTCCTGGATATTGCGGACGCCGAAGTTGATCAAGTTGGAGATAAGGATACCGAAGGTGATGAGAAGCTGGTACGAAGCGACAACAGCGCCACGAATCTCTCGGGGGGAGCACTCGGACTGGAACATGGGCACACCGATGGACAAGTTGCCCACTCCCAGACCAGCAACGAATCGACCCATCATCATGTGAATCCACGAATTCATGGCCGTGATCTGGATGATGTTTCCAATAATGAAAACGACGACACCGAAACTCAAGCTTCTTCGCCGACCCCACCAGTCGGCTGTGTAAGCACCAGAGAGCGCACCGATGAGAGTACCGATACTCATGAGCGATACCATGAGGGACTGGGTAATGGGCACCCATTCCGGAATGCCGTTGGCATCGAGTGCGCCGGTAGCGAAGCGTCTCTTAAAATCCGTAAAAAGAAGCATGGACGAGATTTGACCGGTATCGTAACCGAAGAGGAAGCCTCCAATGCTGGTGATGACACCTAGCAAAAGCGACTCGATGCCGCAGTCGGCGCCATTGATGCGGATGGACCTGAGCAGAGCATTAGCGACGAGCAAATTGGAAAGCAGTGTAGTTCATTCTTCTTACTTCTTGCCCAACCCCATGATTTAAAGTGCCCTTGGCGTTATTGATCTTTGGAAAAGAATTCAGATGAATCTGGGATGGTTCGCACGAGGGCAGAGGCTTTCCGTTTAAGGACTCATGCAGATGTCCTAATGGTCGAGTTGCCGGTGGCAGTTTCGGTGGGTGAGGTAGCGGAGTTGGGACGAAAGGTTTGTTCAAACCCAGTTGAAGTGAGAAATCCAAAGAGCTTGGGAAATGCTGCTCTAGGTCTCGTACATATGCACCATGATGGCTTTATACTGCAGCCATGTCCTGCCACTGCGCAGATGTGGACGAGCCTGAGTCGGCTGACCGACCACAACTATTGGGAACGCTGCTATGACGTTGCCCCAGAGGCCGACTCGGTCCTATCCTCTCTCCATACTGGGGCGCAGACCAGCAAGGTTGATTGAGGGTTAAGAGAAGGTAAGGTGTGGGAAGACCTTGAGAAGTACTTCGTGTATCCCTACATGGACACGATCCACTTTCATCCCACGCCATCATCCGGGGGAGACAGGAGAGGCTCCATCCACGCGACCGGCGACAGGAAGCCCCATACATCAACAATCCGGGGGTGGAAGGGGGCTGGCGCATTCCACCTAGGCGGGATTTGGTGTGAGCGAGTCGTGTGAGCTAGGGATCGGGGCGCTCACAAGTTCAGGGCGGACAACAGACACGCAGGATAGGGCAAAACTCACCTGTTCATATGGCTCACTCCGTTGACAATGGATGGGAGAATTTGGGGTGAGGCTTCGGGATCGGCTGCTTGGCCACCGTCATCGCCGACAGTGAGGCAGGGGTACACGGACATTGGCACACGGAATGGATTTGTGTAGCCAAGACACTTTTATGCTGCCAAGGTGAGCCCACGACGAAAGGCCAAGATCTTACGCCGCGACCAGGTCTCCCTGGAAACTCTACCAATCTGCCGATTTCTCCTACCTGAACGAACGGAAAGTCTTCTCTCATAGTATGCCACAGGTGAAAGCGGGACATGCAACGTGGGGCCGACTTAACACAACGCAACGTCTTGGAATTGAACACCGAGAATAAAAAGTAACGATGAACCCCAGACCCTCACCTGCGAGTCAGCCAGCGGCACGTTCAATCTGTTTCCCAGGGAAAACTTACTAGAAAATCCAACATGTCGTACAATGGAGCCGGGTTACTGGTCAAGGCCGCTGGCTGGGCGAATGCTGTCAGTCCGCAGAGTTGTGTGTGTCAAGTCTGGGCAGACTAAAACGAGTCAATGTCATCCCTGCGCTATGCAAATGCATCCAACCGTTTGCTGCGCTTCCATTGAGTAGGTAGCTCTGCTGCATCTCCAGATGCCTCAAGCCTTTCTATCCATCGCTGCTGGCTCGGTAGCTTCAACAATTCAAAGTCAAGCTTCGATTATGCTTCTCCGCCCATCTTCCTGGAGCCCCACGGGGCATCCCATAAGTAGCTATCCTCCTGTCAAGCTCCCATCGGGGCAGCCGGGGAAGTTGACCGCCATACGCGGAGCGTCGGGGCCCCAAATTGCATGCCTTGTTCTCCGCAGTTTCGGGGTGAAATGTGGAGCGTAACGGTCCGATTGCAAGTGGAATCGTCCAAGACTCTCGCTGTATTCAACGGACCGACTCCAACGTCTTTTGATGGGGAACGGAGAAATGATAAATGGAGAGCTATGTCTTGGCTTTCTTGGATTTTACACGCTTGCTACCATATTTTCGAGTTTTCTCCATCCTTCGCTTAACCGCCGCGACTGCTTCCCCAACCGCATTCCCAGAATATTGCTTCTTTCTCCACGTTTTGCGCCTTCAGATGACCATCTCAAACTTTTCAATGCAGGCCTCGTTCCCGGTCACCTGTTCATCCCGCACTTCAGTCTTACCGGAGTCTCCGAAATCCTCCGCACTCCTGAGTTTGGGAGAAAGGGATGAGCCAGGGTCATGGTACCACGGAGTCGGTGAGCTCGATCGTGGCCACTTCTAGAACGAATGTCTAGCAGCAGGCTGCAGCTGACCGTCCATTATTTCCACTGAATGCGGACTCAGGACGACTCGGAGAGTTCATCCCTGATGCAGAGTCGAGCATGAGACTTACGTTCCACTTGAGACCAGACTGCAGTGGAAAACAGGCCATTAACGGTGACTTTTTTTTTTTTTTTTTGGTAAAAGAAATTCCAGGGTACGGCTACGAATGACCGACCTAGGAAGACAAGCTTTTAGTGGACTATCATCAGCTCCGTACAGAAATTCCAGTAGCTCACTTCACCCGTGCTAGGAAACCAACCCGAAGAATACCGAGTACACGGTTCCGTATGTCAGTCAATGTGAACCACGTCCCCTTCTCTGAAACCCTTCGAGTGCTCTTGTGAGTAGCCCTTCTGGTTGGTATACAGCCTCTTGCCTGTCGTCTCGTCGACAAAATCGCAGTTGTAATGTGTATGGCCAAACGCCCACAACTTGACACTGGGACTCTTCCAACAGGCTTGACCACGCAAGTCCGTTTGGAAACCAGATTTGACGTTGCTCTGAGTATGGCATGGGTCGACTGTGCGAGTATCTTCGGTAGGGCTGTAGTGCGTGAAAATGACAATCTTGCGATCGGTCTCGGCTGCTATACAGCTGACTTGAGCGTTCAACCATTGTAGGTCTTCTTTGTGTCGTTGATAATGCTCTTCGACCGTCCAGCCATCGATTTCGCGAAAGTCGTTGAGGCCGTTGCTGAATGGGGTCATCTTCGAGAATGGGATGTTCGAGAAGAGTGTGCATCCAAGAACCGTTATGTTGCTTTCGGGGATTTGGTATTCTCGCTGATACAGTAAAACATATTCCCCAGTGGAGCTTTGAGAATTCTTGTTGCGTTCGTCTCGATTCGCTGTTTCAAAATTGGTCAGCGTCTCCCACGCGTCATCCCAACTGGAGCCATAAGGCTCGTGGTTCCCGAGCACATGGAAGACAACGCGAAACTGATTGAGCAGATTTCTGAGAAATTCAATGTAGCCGTGGTCTTTGACGCATCCAATATCTCCTATCAATGCAAGATATGGTGCTGCCGGTGCAATGCTATAGTTCAAGTAACTGTGATGCTCCAAGTGTAAATCCGATACAATCTGGAAGGATGCCATTTTTGTGGGTGATATTGGGGGTTTACTGCTAGTTCTTTGCATGCGATCCAAAGTTCCATGAGACTGAAGCAGTTGCTCCGAGCTACTGAACTTATCACACCATATGAACCCATTTCCGACTGCTGTGTTGTACTGGCATGGCAAAATCACCAAGGTTTCCTACAGTTGCCATTTTGAGGCACTGCGCCTGTGAGTCAACGATACCCGGAGGGCAAATTCAATCCACCTTCGTCGAAAGTTTTTTCCTTGACACGTCCAGATCTGAGTTAAACCTTATGTCGTCTGTTCCAACCCATCGTGAACGTTCTAGGGAGGACAGTGCCATCAATCAGTGGATCAACTTCACATCACATTGCGTTAGAAAATCCATGGTTCTCGTCAAAATTTTCTTCTTTATACGCAACTATTTCCATACACAACAACCCTTTCCATGTGCCTTCGTTGACTCCAAAACAATGGTAAAAAAATGAGGTTAATGAGGTTCGGAATCAATTCGACTACAACTCATTGATCTTATAGATCCTGTCGTACTTGTGGGACTCATCCAATCTGTGTACAAAAGCTTGCATTGGCAACAACATATTTGGCCACTGATCCTCCGGGATATAAGCATCGACTATCCTGGTATGTTGGTTTCCGTATCACAGGGTATTTGTTCGATCGAACCGTGGTGACGAAGAGTCAATTAACTGCATATTGATCTCTGCGTGAAGTGAAAAAGAGAGGTTCGAACCGGAGGTTAGACCGTCAGTTGAAAGCCGATATAGAGGCCCTCAGATGGTTCCTGCGCTTGAGCTGACTCGAGGTCGAATTAGGCTTCCAATCCGACATGGTCACAACGTACGTTATTGCCTGACAAGCAAGACACGGATTCTCCTCATTAATTCCACCCTCTGCTACCGTTTTGCGCCTTAAAAAGATGGTTATGGCGCGATTGTAATATGTCAACACCCAGTGCAGTTACATACGGACTATGTACGAGATAATCAGAGCTAACGCGTCTTTTATCTCGGAAAGAAAACCTGAAGCCTGTGGCTTGCACCGGGCAAACCCTTCGGAGCTTTGCAATCTTGGCCACAAGGTATTTGGTACGGAAACTCCAACGTAGTTGGTTGTCAGTGACTGTGTCGAATGCTGGATTCATGTTTCCATACCTCAGGTAGTATAAATGCTGATCAATACCGAGAGAGAGTAAAGGCTCCCTTCTTGTCTAACTTCCCATTCACTGGCTGGAAACGTCGTTCTTATCTGCCTCGCGCTGTCGACGAAACTGGCCAACGAGTTCCTCTCCGAGTGTCGGAAATGGGGCAGGACATGATTAAACCGGCAATGGCTCTGGTGTTCCATGTAGTTGTGCGCCAGCGGACAGTGAATGCTTGTGAGTAATAAAGTTTTATGCCGTCCAAAACTTTCTCATGGGCACATACAGGTTACCTCGGTAAGCCGGGAATAACTTGCGATGGAAGTACTCTCGACTCTTTCAGTTTTCAGTGGGTACTTTGGTCGCAACTATATGCTGGCCAGCAGCAGGGACTCGCGAATAGGTAAATCCTTGCTCGAAACAATGCCTTTATAAGTTGTCAGCGACGGAGGCCGGCTCTTTTCTCGTAGCTCCATCGTCCCGTATAGATAATACTGCTTACCTGGAATGAATGTTGCTACTGCTACTGTTGATCGTTGAGGCTCGTTGGACCAGCCTTCTTCCAGTACGTGTACATATTCATCGTTTCTGCAGTACTCTCGAGACTACGACGCAATGAAGTTTGAAGAGAACAACCGCTTTGGTAGTCTTTTTGTTTTGAAGTTCGAGGCAACGCTCTAGAATCCCACAGTCTCGGGCAGGCCGGATCTGCAAACGACCTGGATGACTGACTGAGTTCACTTTCTCGGCAAAGTCGATGCTTGGTCACCTTTCCACGATGTGGCTTGCGGCAACTTCGACATCCAGGTCTGAGTCACTGCACTTTGAATGCCATCAAACATCAGAATACCCATGTTTATTCTCAAATATTTCATGCGCTCTATTCAATGTGTCCTTCACCCGGCGATTTAATCGCACAAAGCAGCAGGTTTCTGTCGATTGATGACCGAATTTGTCCGGTACCGAGTTCTACTTTTAGCAGGAACTAGCCATGGCACTCAACCGGCCGCCATCCATGACTATGATTGAGCCATTGGAATAGCTTCCGGAACGACTGGTGAGGTAAATAATAGCTCCAGTCATCTCCTCATCGCCGCCAAATCTTCGTGCAGGAATGAACTTTGGATCATCAGGCGATTCATTCTCTGGCTTGCGATCACCAATCAGCCCAGCGGCAATTTCCGAGGGGAATACTGGGAAGAGCATTTTAGTCCATGTATACATGAGATGAATCATTTCAACGGCGGCACTTACACCCAGGGGCAATCCCGTTCACACGAATGCCGTGTCTAGCCAATTGGCTGCTGGCCTGCTTGGTGAGCTGCATGATGGCAGTCTTGCTAGCCAAGTAAGGAGGCGTCGAAGAGAAATGTCGACTGAAAGCGGAAATACTGCTCGTGAAGATGACTTGACTCTGAATGGCGAGAACGTCGCTGCCTTCCTGGTCCGGCTTACCGAAACCGCCCTTGAGAGCGTTCTTATTACCGGCATCAAGGAGCTCGAGGAAGGCTGACATCGTGAAGAAAGCAGCTGTGATATTGACGTTCAAAACTTCCGTCATCTCTGCCATGGAGAAGTCGTCAAAGAGGATCTTGCGCAGTTCCGATACAGAATGCGCAGGGTTGAAGCGTACAGAAGGTCCAAGGATGCCCGAGTTTGCAATGACGAGGTTGACGTAACCAACTTCCTTGGTGATTCGGTCGACAATGGATTGGAGGTCTTCCTTTGAAGTGACATCGCACTTATGGGGGATCAAGTTTGGATGCTCTTTGGCTGCGGTCTCGAGTACCTCAAGACGGCGTCCAAGGATGTAGACCTTGGCGGCACCTTGAGAAACTAGGGCTCTGGCCATCGTGAGACCGATGCCTAGGTGGTGGTTTGAGCATTAGTTTGATACTCATGGACACGATGATGGAGGATACATACCCGATCCACCGCCGGTGATCACGGCTACCATGCCATTGACTCTGAAAATTGCGTTTGAATCCATATTCACGTCTTCTTCTAAGCTGCAGTGTTTGAAAGATGGCAATTGGATTTGATGAACATGGCCGGGCGATGGTCCCCGTGTTGGTGTCGGACTTCTCCATCATATATACCCCAGCCCCCGCGCCAATGTCCGGGCAACAAATGTGGCGTCCGCATATAGGCAGCTCCTGCAGACACATCCGTGCCTCGAACTGGGTTGCAACTTGAAATCCAAAGACAAAGAGACAACGGGCCGTGTCTGTACTAACATATGTCATAACCTTCCGCAGCCAATAATAAGCTCCGATGTTGTCTTACGAGAGCAGCTTAGCGGCGGCTGCAAGTCCCGACGGCGGCCGACAGGAAAGATGACGGTGATGATCGGTGGTCAGGATGGTTTACAAATCAAATCTAGCGGGTGTCGGGCGGCGCTCCGCCTACGACGAGATAACCTTTCGGCGGCGCTCCACCTCGACATCGCAATGCTTCATGGTGATTGATGACTTACTTCTGCCTCTGTATGAACTCTCCGTGCTGCCTTATCGTAGTTGTCGATCTTTACTTTGAACTCAGCCATGTCGTCGGCCGCCAACGGCCGCTGCGAAGTCATCCACGCCGCTCAGGTCTGTGTAACCTGCAAAGCTCGCAAGAAGAGATGTGATAAACAGCTACCTCTTTGCGGCTATTGCACCAAGTATGATAACACCGGCTCATTACTACCATTTCGTCTCCTAACCGTGCTATCACAGAAAAGGCTTGAAATGCCGATACCGCAACACCGATTCAGTGCAAGAACTGGGACATGATGCTTTTGACCGATACCGTAGCGGGGGCCTCCTAGGCCCTGACAAGTACGTGGCAGCATTAAAGCCATTGGGATCGGAAGTCGCTGTGCATCTCGAAGTTCATCGTGCCATCCGCGAGATGGGCTTTTTCGTGGACGAAGTCACCTCCTCTTATTTTCAAGGTCTTCATCGCCATTTGCCTTTCATCTCCCGGCGTCAATTTCACGATGATTTCACAGCGACCAGAACAACCCCCTCCGCCGGCTTTTCCGCACTTGTTTTAAGCTTATCTCTAGTAGCCTCATCTCCTAGACTCAGCAACCGCATCGAGATGAAACCGCCACCTGCAAGACACTCACTCTACTCCGCCACCAAATCTCTTCTTGCTCAGATCCAAACTGCGTTCCCTCCTACAACCCAGCTCATTCAGGCCTATCTTCTTTCAGCTATCTATGAGTACGCAGAAGGTCAGCCTGAAGAGGCATTCACAACCGTAGCAACTTGCATCCGCATGGCTTATCGCTTGCGAATCCATCTCAACAACCGCCGAATATCTCAGCAGTTCAAGGAGACCAATCATATACTCTCTGACAAGAATTCACATGAGCTAGAATATGACTCCCCGACAATAGAAGCCACCAATACCTGGTGGGCAATCGTAATATGCGAAAGGTAATAGCCCCATCTGCATAGACTCGAGCTAGTTCTCTCGCTTTCGCCGGCATGTTATCGCTGACATCGGAATACTCCGCCCCAGACTGTTCTTTTACGAAATTGGTGTACAAGATCAACCCCTACTGAGTGCCATGCCTGCTGCAGATACGGAATTGCCAACAGACTGTTATGGTTTTCATCTTGGGTCTACTTCATACAGTAACACTGCGGTATCTGATTTCACATCCTTGAATCCCGGAGCGCTCGGTCGATCCGTTCAGGCAGTTTGGCTCATAGACCAGTTTCCCTCTTGTCCTGGAATTTCAGATTCTGGTAGACATTTCACGTCGATTGAAGCCCTTCACGGCATGCTACAAGAATTTCTTTATTTACTTTTACAAGAATGCGACACTAAAGGCAGCTTTCAATGCGAGGCCATTGCGATATGCCTTAGGTGAGCAAGGTTCTATTCCGGTTCGCTATTACCACCGCTGAACCAATAAAGGGGCTTGTTCAAGCTATACTCGCATCCATTCCAACAACCCGAATGGAAGCAAGTTACCGATAATGAGTTATTCCATAGGCAGGAGGAGTGCTCCCAGCATACACTAGACACCGCGACGAAGATGGTGCTGGACATTGTCGAGGCCCATGAGCGTACAAAACCGCTGCCCTTGGCTTTGGCTCCTCCAAGTTATCATTATATGGTGAAAGCAGCCCTTAAGTAAGTTCAGCATAGGCAAGGTCCAGCTCAGGATGAAGTATTGGTGACTGCTGTACCGAGGCTCAGCAGGGCTTTAGACCGAGCCAAATGATGAGACAAAATTGTCATTGTTGGCCCCGAAGAATCAAAACAAATTTGACTCTTGATTTTTATCTCTTTGATCTATGAATTCTACAAGATGCGTCTGTATAGAACGGTTTCTAGGTCTAGATGCTTCAGTCGCCGTTCAGCTTCTGGTCAGGGGTGAGAAATCCCTACTTCAGTGCTTCTCCTTCTCGATCTCTTCTTGCATGGTCCAATTAGGTTCTTACTTGAAATCTTTCGGAAGTTTCATGTGCTCAAAGGGTGTGCCATTCTCTAATTGGATGTGTCCTTTCGGCAAATCTCTCTGCGGCGTACTCCGCCCTATACGGTTGAGAGACCTGTTCCAATTGACCTTGTGACGGTATCACCAGTTCGGTTGTAACAGCCGACGGCATGGAACTTCAATTCCTCCCGATTCTCGATGAAAACTATACCTAGGAGGAAAGGCCGCCCAGGGAATTCCGAGGCCGTAGTAGACCACCGGGGGTAGATGCCATCAGTTCTTTGAGGATACTTAATCTGACCGATTGAAAGCATCAGCCGTGATTGACCAGATTGGTTCTCAAATAACCATTGTCGACAGTCTAGGATGAAGGGCTGCTACTCTGGCACTTCTTCAGCTTAGTCGAACTCAAGAAGCATGTCCTTGAGATGATTGATCGAAGTTGCCCCGTTGTTCTACCCCATCGGACGAGTTCGTTGACGGTAAACGTTAAAAGTAGCACGTTTGGACAACAATTAACCGTGAGTCGCTGGCATGTCACCTTGATATACCAGACGTCAGGCCCCTTTGCGATTCACTGCGTTTCCACTCTGTCATGTTCGCCAAATTTTCTCTGCCATTCCTTTACATGCTGTAGCTTACATCCACCTGAAATGGGCGTGCTGTCTGCCACCTGTGACCTCCGATCGTTTGAGGTATCATCAGTCTTCGAGTCTCGATGAACTCGCGATTGTGGCTACTTCGGTAAAAGGTTCCGACCCTGTCATTCAACCTCACCATGTCACATCCAAGGGCAACCGCGTTATCCGCAAGGCAACCTGCCAAGTCGGCAAACAAGAACCGAGCAAACAAACAGCTGCAGCTGGAAATTGTCGCTCATTCTCCGGAAGACGTGACCCAAAGGGGTAGCCACCATTCACAGCCAACCACGCCGTGCATGTTCGTAACAACCAACTGCATGCCGTTATCGTACGAGATCCATTACATCCGACTACTTCGTTCTGATACGCGCGTTGTTTTCTTTTTCTAGACGTTTCCTCGCTGCAAAGAGCATCTTCGCCGTGATCCCGCATAATCGTTGTCTCCGGCCAAGGAGAGGGGTAGCTTGAAGCACACAGCAATAGTACCGCATCTTGGGAGCATTAAAATGCTTTCGTTTGGCATTTCTTCTTTTCTCAAGCACCACATTCGCAAATCTTAGTTTTGGAAATCGTCCGGGGCAAGTCCATCAAAAGGCTTCCTAGAGGCATTTCCCGGCCATGTTTGCAACCAACTCCTCTGCTGCCCAAGACATGGGAAATGTCGAGCCCACAGGCCAAGCCAATAATGCGATTGCTCTAATTGCCGACGATGTATGAGAATTACACTTGAATTCTGACAAAGCTAAATATTACAGGTGACGAATGATAGCTCATCGGAGCTTGGAGAGGTGAGCAGACGCTTGGTCCAGCCACTACTTTTGCGTCCGGAAATAGAGCTGACCAAATCGCTCAGAGCATTGCTTCTTCAAGCACGAGTGTTTCAAGCTCTATTCTCGATTATCGACTCGAGAATGGCCGAACTTACCACAAGTATAAGGATGGCAGTGAGTTCAAATTGGACCTGATGATCGTTAGCATTAGATTCTCAAGTTCGACAGAATACAGCTTACCCAACGACGAGAAAGAACAAGATCGACTAGGTTCGTTTTCGCTTCTAATTAAGGTAGCCATAGAATCTGGGCGTGTGTTGATATTTGAAGTAGACCTCCAGCACAATCTGTTCTTGTTGACCTTTGACAATGCCCTGGGCCTTGCGCCACCAAATGCCAAAGATTCGAAGGCTAAACGGGTGCTCGATATCGGGACGGGCACTGGTATTTGGGCAATTGACTATGGCGAAGACCACGAAGACTCCGAGGTACTTGGCGTTGATCTTTCGCCGTCAATGCCTGAATTGTGAGTTGCGCTTTCGTACTGTTCCTTTCTCATTCGAAGAACCCTTAGCGCTAATTCATTGTCACAAGTGTTCCCCCCAATGTCAAATTCGAGATCGACGATCTGGAAGAAGAGTGGACCTTCAGCCAACCCTTCGACTATATCCACAGTCGCATGATGAACTCGGCCATCAATGACTGGAAGCTTTTCCTCAAGCAAGCCTTCCGGTATGTCAAAATTCCAATAATATTCGAAGCCAATGATTATGTTCCTGCTAGAGCCACCAAGTAATATTTGTTAGGCATCTAACTCCTGGCGGTTATTTCGAAATTCAAGAACCCGACCTATTCCCAAAATCTGATGACAAGACCTTGAAGCCAGACAGTGCCCTGGCGAAGTGTCTAGACCTCATGTACGACGCATCAGTCATGATGGGACGCCCGTATCAAGAGATCCCCCCTCTTGTCAAGGTGATGGAGGAGGTCGGCTTCGTCGACGTAGAGATGCATGTCTTCAAGTGGCCTTCTAACTCCTGGCCCAAGGATCCCAAATACAAGGAATTGGGAATCTGGAACAACGAAAACTTTCGCAATGGATTCGAGGGTTTTACCATGGCCCCCCTAACAAGGGCACATCATTGGACCAAGGAAGAAGTCCAGGTGTTTCTCATCGACGTACAAAAAGACTTGCGAGATAGGAATGTCCATGCGTACTGGCCAATGTGAGTTTTTTTGCCCCATCGGGCAACACGCGAATCAAAACTGACATCGTGAGCTAGCTATTCTGTGTTTGGGAGAAAGCCGGGGGAAGACGAGGGAGAATCCACCTGAGATTTCTTTACGTTCGGGTAAAGCCACTCTACTAGCCTGCAATTGACCTTGATTGCAACGCCTCAGGTTTTCAAATAATGGTCCTTGAATAAAGCAGTGACTGACTACTAAGAACCAGCTCTAATGATTTACGGGATGGTTGTGGGTTGCCATGTTTGAGCACAACCTTGACTTGCGGCCCCGTCACAATTTGGGGATGGGCATCAAAGACCATTCCAAAGCCGCGTTTTCCTCCTGTCATCGGCAATGCTTCTCGTCATTACCAACCATGCAATGCATGTTCATAGCTGTACCCTGCATCATGTTATCGTACGGGCTCCACGTTTCATTTTGCTTAACCGATTCGTCCTGGTACGCGCGTTGGTTCCATGTTACGGACACTGCATACGCTGTGAATAGTATCTTCGCCGCCAACCTGCATACACGTCTCCAGCCAAGGAGAGGGGTAAAATGAAAATGGCTGTTGCTCCGTGAGAACGCTTCTGAGAAATTTAATTGTTGATATCTTCTCGTTTTCACACTCACTTGACGTTCAGGAGCTGCTCTCCGAATAACGAAGCTCTCGGAACTCTAGCTTCGCACTCAAAACACAAACTTTTGACGCCTTTGTGGTCGTTGTATTTCCGAACATGTCCGACAACAATACTTCAAGTGCAGCCCCTGCTGCCAGCACCAACCTGACCACAGTCAACGGCCCGATTCACATCGCTCCTCAAGATGTACAGTAGAAGACACATTACCTCGTTTAGTTATCAATCATTGACACAGAGAAGGCCTCTGATGACAGCGCGTCGGATCTCGGGGAGGTAAGTCGGAGTCAATGTGCTCAATTTGTCCACAGACGTTGTCCTCTAGCTAATGGGTCAAGCTCAGAGCATCGCCTCGTCGAGCACCAGTGTCACATCCTCCATTCTCGGTTATCGGCTGGAAAATGGCCGGACGTACCATAAATACAAAGACGGCCGTGAGCTTTGAACCAATGACACAGCGTATTTCAGAGCATACCTAACGCAGTGGGTGCAGAATACCACATTCCGAACGATGCATTGGAATCTGACAGACTTGGTAAGTCTTCCCGTTGGGACTCTTCCATCATAAACTTGCATGGGACTACACACACTGATATGTGGGTCAGACTTGCAGCACAACCTCTTCCTCCTGACCCTAGGCAATAAGTTGGGTCTTGCCCCGCCTAACAGCCCTGATTCAAAAGCGAAGAGGGTTCTTGATGTCGGCACTGGCACTGGAATCTGGGCAATAGAGTTTGGAGAGGAGCACCCTGAAGCTGAGGTATCTGCAGTTTCGTTGCGTTTCACGGTGCAATGCTGACAGTGAAAACAGGTCCTCGGCATCGACCTTTCTCCATCTATGCCAGAGTTGTGAGTTTTGCGCGAACCCAATCACCACCCAAATTCTTTTTGCATACAATTCCAGGGCTCTAACAGTTCAAAGCATCCCTCCCAATGTCAAGTTTGAGATTGATGACCTAGAGGAACCATGGGTATACTCGCAGCCGTTCGATTACATCCACACCCGGACAATGAACTCTTCAATCACTGATTGGAAGGTCTACTTGAAGAAATGTTTTGAGTAAGATTGCATTATTGATGAGCATACCCCTGCGTCTCATCTATAGTCGTTGACTCATGATTTCAGCAACCTTGAAGACGGTGGTTTCCTCGAGCTGCAAGAGTACGATGTGTTCGTCAAGTCCGACGACGGTACACTCAAGCCAGACCACGCTGTCTCCAAATGTGTCGATCTGATCTATGATGCATCCATCAAATTTGGACGGCCCTATCAGCATATCGCCCCTCTCGCAGAGATGATGAAAGAGGTCGGGTTCGTTGATGTGGCGATACACAGCGACAAATGGCCGTCAAACCCATGGGCTAGGGACCCCAAGTATAAAGAACTTGGGTTATGGAACCACGAGAATATGTCTACCGGTGTTGAGGGTTTCACGATGGCCGCTTTTACTCGGATTCACAACTGGACGAAGGAAGAGGTACAGGCCTTCTTGATTGACGTCCGGAAGGATTTGAGAGACAGATCTATTCATGGTTACTGGACAGTGTAAGTAAGAGACTATCCTTCAACTTGGGACCAGCTAACATCCACTGCCAGTTATAACATCCATGGAAGAAAGCCAGGGATGGAGGGGACCGAAGGAAGACAATATTGAGGCCATGTACACTCTGCCAAACGATAATGGCATCCCACTCACTGTAGATGTCTTGCTTGGCTATGATGGCACTCAAGAATGGAAATCGACTGGAATTTTTGATTGTTATGTTCATCCGGTCAAGAAACTATGGTCTCATACATCGGGGTATTCCTATCGGTCATCGAACGATGCTGCATCGTAAATGGGTCACAGTGCCCTCACCTTCAAGGTGTCGAGAAACCAAAGTCGAGCTTGACCATTGTCAAGGGGAGTAAAGGCTATTGCGCACCAAGACTTCTGTACCCCGGTATCTTTGAGAGCCATGGTACTGAGCCTCGAGATATCAAGGTAGTTGGAACCGCTTTGAGCTGTCATGTTTGGCAGCAAGCTTCACCGTAAACTCAAAATATCCCGGTCGGAGATGAATCCAGAAAAACGCATATATATACTCTCATACTCCCCAAAGACAGAAAATCTTGCAACCGGTTCTCATAATCCTGCCGACAAGAAACATAAATCTTTCTGGTCTGTGACCGATCAATGCAACACCACCAATTGCAACGCCGTACACCCGATAATCGTGTCACCAGGCTTGACCCTATCAACTCTACCTAGTAACAAGAACAATCAGATACAACGAGAACGTCAACATGTTCAATCCGGACATCCCACAAGACTTCTACGGAGCGATCCACATTCCCCAAATCACCGTCAACAAAGTCATGGCCGTTGACGAGATCTTCAAAAACACCACGGAGGTTGACTTTGTCACGGACATGGCATACTTGCTCATGATTGCAGGCATTTTCTTACTCTTTGCCTTCTACCTAATCACAGCGTTCTTGGTCTCTGTCGACACCGAGGACGCTGGACAACAATACTCAACTAGAGGTCGCCGAAGAAGATTGAGCGACCCAGAGAACCCAACAGAGCCGTTGCCTCTGTATACGCCAGAAGATCCCACGGCGAGGAGACTTCTGGAACTTGATGCGGAAGCCCCACCTCCTGCTTACTATACAATCGTCATTCCTGCTCCGCTATGTGAGGACGACGAGGATTTCCGCGACATTTCCACGGATTCATTTTCGGATGGAACAAATACTAGCGATGCGTCGTACATGGTCTGACGGAGACTGCATCTCCTTACAACCGGGCAGACCAGGCGATGATGCAATAGCCTATCCGGCAGCGACGCAAGCCAAGGACTATGATACGCTGTCTACTAGGTCAAGATCAACGATACGGATTACGCATACAGGACATGTATGAGAAATGACATGAAGGCTAAAGGAGGCCGAGCCTCGAGGTTCTGGTGTTCGTCTTCAGTGGGCGTGTCAAGCAAGCACATACGCCGAAGTGGGAGTCAGCCGGCTGGAGACGGCTCATTTGGCAGACACCACCATTATAGACAGATAGAAAGGCTGGACGGATATCCAGCTTGCACCCAAATTCAACCAACGTATGCACATCCGACGTTCGCACTCCTGTTCTTTTAATGGTGGTAATGCATGTTTTGATGTTAGTCAGAGGCGTGGCCTTTATGCTCCAAATAGAGAGTATATCTATCTCTCCGAAGCTTTATAGAAACAAACATGCCGCCGCAAAAAGGAATCGATATCTATCGGTTCAGAAATCAAGGCAGAAAGAAAGAAGCTTCAAAACAAGACAATTAATCCATTCAAAATACAAAAGAGAAAATGAATAGGGCTCAATCGGGATTCGAACCCGAGACCTCGCCCAATTTCACGCTGAGCGCAAGGATTGGATAACCCGAAGGGCGAATCATACCACTAGACCATTGAGCCAGGCAATCCCTGCGGGATCGAATGAGTGGATTCGGAATGTCGATCCCAGCTCAGAAAACCTTATATATACCCCTATCTTGTGAACCCAAGTAGTATCATGCAGCCCTAGTCTCAAACTGTAAGATGATGACAAGTCCGAAGCAGTATGTCCAGTTCCGCTCATCTTGCGTGATGTGGTGATGACTCTCATAGAATAAGACGCTAAAATTAGAAATGATTTTGCATCTCTGCGCTGGTACTCTGACGGCCTCGTGGACATTTTCACTGCAAACCAGCCAACCTTCTGAACCCAACATTCTCAACGATCCTTAGTCCACCATTCAGTGTGATGATCCCCTTTCCCCCAGCCGCGAGCCCGTCATCGACCTTACCCATCGCCATCTCTGTCATGAACTGGCCCAAGATATCCGTCGGGCTGACAAAGGACGGCGCGAGTGTCCGCGTCACAGGGCCCAGGAGCGTGTTCATGGCGTTGTACAACGCGCCCGGGTTCGGCGCGTAGGCCTCGACAGCCGCGTGGCCGGCCTTATCTACGAAAGCAGGGCGGACAGACTCGGTGCGCAGGCGCGGGTTCGCGGCACGCATCTCGGAGAGAAGGGTCTCAGTCTCGCCTTTGACCCGGGCGAAGATGGCGCTGAAGCGGCCCGGCTTCTGCGTTGCGCCCTCGCCTGAGACGTAGATGAAGCGGAAGGGCTCGTTTTCGGGCGGCAGGCTGGCAAAGGCTTTTGCCGCTTCCAAGGTATAGTCCTTTGTGATTTTGACGTATTCCCTGGGTTTTCGTGTGAGCACTTTTTGGCAGGATCGTGGATGGGATGGGGTGGTTGTGGACGTGCTTACTCTTTGCTGACCTTGTTCTGGCTGATACCAAGGGCCCAGACAGCACCGTTCGCGCCCTTGAGCTTGTCGAGCACTTCCGCATCGTACTTTCCAAAGTCCTTGTGGATGATGACATTGATGCGGGGATCTTTGGCATTCTCGGCCATAGGGATTGGCTTCCGGCTAAGTACAGAGATCTTTGTGACGTCCTTCATCTTGATCATGGCATCAAGAACGCCTGAGCCGACGAGGCCTGTGGCTCCAGTGAGGATGAGATGCATCGTAGCAGTGTCGTTGATTATGTTGTCCTTTTGGGATGGAAAAAGAAGGCTTTGTTTCAATTATGATACTGTCTTGTTACATGAAAGTGTCAAGAAATGAATCTAATGATACCAGATTTATCTCAGTCAAGTCAGCAGCGACTTGGCCGTCTTTTCAATCGCAGTCATTCATAACGGAGCGGGCGACGCGGCCGCGCCATGCGGACAACGAACCCACCCTTGCGCCGATTCAGAGTAAGCAGCTGGCAGGAGGAGCGCCGGAGTTAGCACTATCGCCACCTCAAAGGGCCTGTACTGCGGGCATCGCCGTCTCTGGATCGAGGCAGTAAGACTCAAAAGGACCGGCTCCGAGACTCGTGGACCGTTGACGGGGCTTCCGTCTGCCTAAGGGGAGGTTATTGCACAACGCAGCTTGTTCCACTCAGCCACATTCAAGTCCTTGCCAGCCTGGAGAAGGTATGGTCTTCATCTGACCATCAGGTTTCAAGTAAGTAAACTTCAAGTCAGCTAAAGTGGTTTGCTGTGTAAAGACAACCATCCACTGCCCAGGGCCCAGGCTGCAGCGTGCTATCGCAATGACATACGGCTGGGGAAACATTGCAGGAGAAGTCCCGCCCGCTATTAAACCCGCCAAACGCCGAGATTGCTGAATCTCCGCAGCGGAATTCTCACCCACAGCCACAATGAAGTTCTGTGCCGCAGGGTTTTCAACTTTTACAGTGGAATTTGGTGGTCTTCCGCTTGGTTGAGCCCAGGTCGAACCATGACAAGGCGAGGGCTGGTCAGAGGCTTTTCAAGAGTCCCTGGTCTATAACATCTCGTGTTTCTGATCTCTCTCTCTCCCTCTCCTTTCGTATACCTCTTCTTCCGCTCATAATACTCGGTGCTATCAGGACCGTCGCCCCTGTCCCTCTTCCGAGACTCCTCCTGCATCGCCGTCCTTCTAATTCGATTATGCTGATTCTTCTTGGCATTACACATACGGTTTCCTTGCTTCAACTAGCGGGTCACAAGGCATTGACACGCACCTTGAGGTTCATGCATCTCGTCTCCCACCGCTCTCCAAAGGTCTCATACGCTTCCCAGCCGCGAGTGGCATCGACAGACCATAAGGGCTTGAGTGCGAGGCCACTCTGAGCTTGCACAGCAGAACGCTGGCGCGTATAAAGCTGATGGAGTGCTTTGGGGTTCGGCGAGGATGTGATCCGGTTTCTTTCTCGCCTCAGCGCTTTTCTGTAGGGCTTTCTCCTTCTGGGCATTGTCAGAGGTGACCAAGATAGCTGTGGCTAGCTGGCTACTGTGCGACATAGGCGATCTGTCTTTCCGAGTTCGATGGCCACATTCGATCATTTTCACAACCTACGGTCTTATAGCGATCATGTTCAGTGTATGCTTTGTCCAGCGGTGGTGAATTGTTCCGTGTTTCGAATGACGCCTTCGAGCGTGGTAGGTCTTGTCTTGACGATTTGTCTCGCAAGCAAGCCATTCTGGTGGTTTCAATTATCACCAAAAATTCTCTGGCCGAAAGCCCACTTATAGACTCGGACACTGGCTGCGCAGGGTATTTTTGAAGGCTTGTCGAAGAAGCCGTGCACTCATCTGCGTCTCTCAATGCCATGCCACGAAACCAATCCGCACATCGGATAGCCAATTGAGTTCTCTCAGCCCAGTCGGGTTCGTTGCGCAGAAGCATCACGTAGAACACCTTCGGCGGCATAGCAGCGCTTTTATCCACGAACCATTACTTCAAATCTCAACGACATGATAGGTGATAAGGGGACGTTCTTGGTCTGAACGAATGCATTAGCATTAGCCGATGCCTAGGGCAAATGAGGTAAATGGCTTGCTACCTTTCTTGCTTTGATCTCAATGTTATCATTACTGGCCGACAAATGTCTAGTCGAAAATCTAAAAGGGTTGGCACGAACATGCAGTTTCAATTCCAATCTGTATTTTAAAAGGCTGAAGATTCTATTGATGAGAAACTACATGTTCCTTCTGCTGCCCGGCTTCTCATATACTACCTTGGAGAGGAGCAACTTTACACAGAGATTTTCGAAATTACAGATACAGATGAATCCACCCTTGTGAGACGGGCGGTGGCTTCAATGGCGGCTTCAATAAGCTTTTGATGGCTCTGCCAAGATTGATGTGAGCGATGCATCTCATTCACTGTGAGAACATCTCCGGCATGGCGTTGAAGTTCATAATGGAACTGAACCCGAACCCATTATTGTCCTAAGTCAAGTTAGAACAAAGATCCATCCAAACAATTTCGGGCCTGCGGGAAAAAACACCTACCATGGATCCCCAATCCCAGTCTCCGAGCATGTCGACACCGGCTTCAAAATCCATATCCAAATCGTGGACATCGGGCATACTCACCCCCTCCTCAAGCAAATCGCCTCCGGCCAAGTCCTTGAGCAGATCATAGCACTCCTTGACCCGCTCCCTACACGCATCCTCAAAGAACTCCTCAATCTTGTCGTCGCTAACTCCCTGCTCCAACCCATGAATATGAGCAATGAGCAACACGCTCAGCGCGTGGCCCTTGATGTTCGTCTCCCCGGATAGGATCCGATCCCGCGACCAGTCGTAGGCGGCGCTGAGGATGCTGCGCAACTGGTCCTCGGCGCCGCTGTAGATCACGGAGTACCCGTTCCTGGCCTCCTCCTCCTTGGTGTTGATGAGCTCGAGCCCCAGCGTCATGATGCCCTGGAAGGGGATAGACCGGTAGAACCCGGCGCCGTTGATCGTCAGGCGGTGGAAGTCCACCTCGGAAGGGGTTGCGGGCTTCACCGTGGCGCCGGTGCCGGACTTATCGGGACTGAGGAAGGCTACCTCGCATAGCCGCAGCGCCGTGTCGACGACCATCTTGCGAGAGAAGTAGTAGACCGGATTTCTCTGCGCCAGCGGGGCGATTTGGTGATGGAGGGCGAAGAAGAGTCGGTAATTCAGGAACTGGACGTACCGAAGCTGGAAAGAGGTCACCGCCGGGTGCGCCTTGAGCTGCTGCATCATCTTCTGGAGTGATTTGCTGAGTTCATTGCTATGCCGTAGAGTCTCTTCGTAGACTGTGTCTGAACGAAACTCGTTGACGCGCTTTGTCACGGCAAGCCGTGTTGCAAATGTCTCGAACACTGCTAGTGGGACCGTCATCTGCGTATGTGTACCCGGATCTCTGGGCACGGGAAAGGTTGAGTCGCCGTCTTCGACGAGTTGCTCGTCGTCAAGATTCGCAGGTATTTCCGTGTCGAAATCGTCCATTGAGATGAGAGGCGGACCGCCAGAGTCAATACTCGTTTGCAGGGTTATCTCCAAGATCGTGACCCATAGCCTCCGACGCATTTCAGCGCGGTATGGAGACATTTTGATGATCGACTTGGGGTCGCGGTGTAGTCCCATGTACATGGCCGTTCTAATGAGGGCGCCTGCGCTGATCCAAGTGAGATCACAGCCGATATTGGCCGTTTGTCGTAGGTAATGCATCAAGCAGCGGATCTGCAGCCCGGAGATGGTCATCTTGGACTTCTCACACGGCGTAATGAGCCAGAACATGGCCTCCCAGAACCACTGGATGGCCAAGTATCGGAGGGTGAAGCGTTCGTCGTGCATGGTGGCGCCGATGCCCATGCACAGCTGCATGGTGATGATGAAGGAGTCGGTCGCCTCGGAAGGGTTCTCCCAGTACTTCTCGTAGTCCGCCTTGAAGGTCGGGACGTGGATGATGCGGTGGATGGACTCAAAGGTTCGGATGTAGTTGTTGATGAGGGCATCAGCTAGTTCTCTGGAGGGCATACTCTTGCCGGTTGAAATGGAGCTGAATGAGGGGGTCCGGCGGGCTTTGATTATGCGTCCCAGCTTTTTGCACTTTTCTAGGTCGATGTAGAGCTCAGATGATCGACGATTCTCAAACTTTCTTGCAAAGTTGACGAGGCGATACAACTAGAATTCATGTCCGTGTCAACTATGCCATTTCATGTGGCAACGGTAGTGCTTGGCTTGATATGCTGGATGATAATCCGGCACCAAGACTGAAAGAGAGTCGGAGGGAGAAGGAGAGGCAGATGGGAGGATAGTAAAAAGAAAGGTAGTTACGTCAAGACAGAGAATGGTATATAGTATTTGATGAGACTGTGAAACAAAAGGAGGCTGCCACTCACCATATCGGCCGCGTTCATCCAGTGGCTCTGGCCAAAATAGCGAGTCTTGCTGACGCAACCCCGGCTGTATCTCAACCCCTCTCGGAAACCAGGAGCAGGCTGAGTTACATCTTCCTCTCGAGCTCCATATTTCACAGTCAGGTCTGACAACTGCTGCTCGAGCTGTTTCACTCGATCGACGAGAGAATTCACCGTCGACGAGGAGCCGGGGCAGCTTCCGGGAGTCGAGGCGGTCTCCGCTCTCACACTGACGGCCGCCGGAGGTCGCGTGGGGTTGACGGGCCGCCAGGGTCCAAAGTCTGCCGGCCCGGCGTGTTCCCCGGAGCTGGGGTCCGAAGTGAAGAGCGGGTGTCCATCGAGATTCCTGGCGTCGTGCGTGGCGGGAGATGCCTCCGACAGGGCCCTTGAAGTCGGAGCGATTGGCTCGGGGAACCCCAAACCAGACTCGTTGGGGTTGGTAGAACCGTGGACGGGATCCCTGAAGTTCTCTAGCCGTGTGTGGGCGGCAAGGGGTGTGCTTGAAGCGGCGGAAGAGGAAGTGGAAGTGACTGGGTGTCTCATGGTTCGCAGGGATTGAGACGCCGGGAGAATGGGGTCTGGCAGGCGGAGAGCCGTGTGAATGGTGCCCTCGGTACCTTCAGCGCCATGTTTGGGGCTCTTCCTGGGTGCCGGCTTTGTTTGCGAGGTGTATGTGCAGAGGGCGTGCTTGGAGCGGATGCAGGTGTTGCAGGGAAGGTTTCTATCGCAGCGGACTTTTCGACGGCGGCATTGTTCGCATGCCAGGGCAGGTCTTCTCCGCTTCTTCTGAGCCGACGGCTGGTCCGGGCTTCTCGACGCAACCATATTGGGTAGTGTTACAGGATCTGGCTGGAGAGTTGGGAAGGTGAGGATACGTGATCGTGGGATGGGGCTGGGCGAGCTGAAGGGATGCTCGGCTTTTTGAACTGAGTCCGAATTTCACTCCAGCAAATTGGTCCCAGTTTATCAAAAGCTGTTGCCTGGTCCGAGAATTGATAGTATTAAAGTCTTAATGGTAGCAAAATTCAGAAATATCATCAGATGAAGAGGTAAATCTGCGCTGTGAAAGGGGTCGAAGACGACGAACTCGATCATGAAGTGAGTAAGACGGAGCTTAACCCCGATATGTCGTCGGAATTCTTGCGTTTATGGGCCATTTCGCCCGCCATACGCCGAGCTTTAGAGCAGTCTGATTGGCTCCAGTCCCTGGTCTCAAAAACACCGAGCTGCATTTGAATTCGCCGACTTACACGATATTCCGAGGAGGATTCAAAGAAAAACACCGAGAGTGGCGCCTAATACATCCACGCAACTCTTGCACCCCAGCAATATCAGCATGGTTAAATGGAGCAACGGCACTATAAAAGCTGCAAAGACACCAGCTCATTCAGTTTGCAACGTGGTCGTTGACGAAAGACTGCATCCACTGCAGGATATGGTGGCACGTGTTTATGTCGCTGCTTCCGTCACTCTTTGATGCTGAGCATCTTGATTCCGAGCAGGCATAATCGAGGTAAATTTGGTACGATTTATTCCAACTCTCTGTGTCGTAGCGGAACAGGACATCTCCAAATCCAACTTCATTACAACCACGACCCCAAAGATCAAGGCAGAAGAAAGTTTTTTTTCTGTCTCTTGTCCATTGAGAATTCTCTATTAATTTTGGGATAGGTTGTGTCGACGACTTCGATCAGAGCGAAGAAGTTTGAGGTCCGATACTAATTAGAAAATCCAAGTCTTAGTTTATATACAGGTGTAAAGACAGCAATGCTCGATCGGCGTATGAAGGTAGACGTTGACTGCTGTAAGGAGTCATTCGAGAGTCTTATCCCAACTTCAGGAATGTGTTTTCCATTAGAACACCGATTTCTTCCTTCCTGTCCTTGTTTGAAAAGTCCACAATATTTCGTAGACAATGTTTAAAACATTCAAGAAAATTCGATCCATATCATGAGAAAAGAATTCCAGTCTTATCTATTTGCATGGATTCTTCTCTTCCCTATGCGAGAAGAATAGTATCCAAATGGGTAGCGGGATCATCATGAACGGATTAACGTGCATGATCACATTGCTAAAATAGTAGTATCGACGATTGAATGGGGTTGACAAGTCGATTCAAGGAGTTGGGGAATCTGGATCATCTATATCCTCCCACGACTCTCGATCCGACCCTTCAATTTCAACCCGTAGAGGCCTATATCGGAGCCACGCCACCAAATTTGACGAATTCTTGTAGGGAGTGGGTAACGGAAAGAAGTCAGGGCAGTGTTATCAAAGCACCAGATCAGCATGTGATCGTGCCTTGTTGTGTGCTGTCTGCTTCTGACTCTGTCTGTCAATTGCTTCTGGCCAACCCATGCTGCCACCCTGGCACGCCTGAGTGGTTGGATCGATGCTTTCATCTAATATTGGACCGATTGGAGTTAGCGTACCAAAAGCCACGTTCCTGGTGGTCTGGCAGACTGGCACGGTGCGCGCGCACATACGCTTAGGTGGAACAAATGAAAGGGACACGTCGGGACGGTTTCAGCTTCAACGGTAACTGCTTGGATTTCTAGGTAAAATGGGAATAGGAGACCAAATGTACAAGACAGAAACCTCTCCCGCACCCGAGATGCAGCATTAGTTCAGGAGATCATTGTACACGGGAAGTAGGTTGTGGTGGGGTTCGTTCCTCGTTCGCCGCCGAGCAGATGGTGTATGCTTCGGCCCGTCTTTCTCTGCCCTCCGCTTTCTCCCTTTGGCAAAAGCCACAGGTCATATCCATTGGCCTGAATGTCTATAATTCTCACGCCGGATACGCCTTCGAAACTGCGTCATGCCTCTTTTGCCTCCACACGCGCAACGACAACAACATCATCAGCAAGTATTGCTTACAGAAGGAGCTCGAGGGGGTTCTCGAGGACCTTCTTGAGCTCCCTAAGGAACTCGGCACCAATGGCACCGTCAACGACCTTGTGGTCGAAGCTGCCGGTGATGGTGATCTGGTCATCGAACTCGACGCCGGTGGTGCCGTCCTCAGACAGAGCGGGGACAGCGACCTTCTTGGTGGTGCCGATGGCGAGGATAGTAGACTGAGGGGGGTTGATAACGGCGGTGAAGTTGTCGACGGCGTCGTTCATGCCCATGTTGGAGATGGAGATGGAGCCGCCCTGGTACTGCTCGGGCTTGAGCTTACCATCGCGGGCGAGCTTGGCGAGCTTCTTGACCTCGGTGGAGATACCCTCGAGACCACGAGCCTCAACACCGGTGACAATGGGGGTGATCAGGCCAGTGGGGGTGGAGACGGCGACGGAGACGTCGACGGTGTTGTGCTGGCGGATGACCTCGCCGCGCCAGCTGGAGTTGGCCTGGGGAACCTTCTTGGAAGCGACACCAATGGCCTTGATGAGGAAGTCGTTGACGGACAGCTTGTACTTGCCGTCGGAGGAGGCGTTCAGGGCCTGGCGAAGCTTGAGGAGCTTGCTGACGGAGATGCTGGAAGAGACGTAGAAGTGGGGGTTGTTCTGAGTGGACTCCTGGAGGCGGGAGGCAATGGTCTTGCGCATACCGCTGATGGGGATGTCCTCGTAGGAAGCGCCGGGGGCAGCGACGACCGGGGAAGAGACAGCCTTCTTGACATCCTCCTCGGTGATCTTACCGCCCTTGCCGGATCCCTTGACGTCGCGGATGTTGATGCCCTTCTCCTTGGCGAGGCGAACAGCACCGAAGGACGCGTTGGCTTCACGGTCGAGAGCGCTCTCGAGCTTGCCGGCGGGCTTGTTGAAGTCATCGGAGGAGTTCTCGGGTTCGGGGGTAGGGGCAGGGGCGGACTCGGACTCCTGCTTGGGCTGCTCCTTGGGGGCGGGCTTGGCAGCCTCACCACCGGCGTCGGCAGCGGAGAAGCCCTCGAAGGCGCTAACATCGGTGCCCTCCTCGACGAGGACGGCGATGGGCTGCGAAGGGTGAGTCAGTTTGCGCGGACATGATGGCGGTGGTGGTAGCGGCGGTGATGATGAGGATGATGGTGAAATGCGCCGGCGGACTCGACGAGGGGAATTGGACATACGTTACCGACGGGGATGTCCTTCTCACCGGACTCCTTGAGGAGCTTGGCGATAACACCCTCCTCCTGGAACTCAAAATCCATCTGGGCCTTGTCCGTCTCGATCTCGACCAGGACATCACCGGGTGCAATGCTGTCACCGGCCTTCTTCTGCCAAGATCCGATATTTCCCGCTGTCATAGTGGGCGACAGGGCGGGCATCTTGATGATGGTGTGCGGGGGGTAGGAAGCGTAACATCTCAGGATCTGGGACGAGAGGTTGCTGCGGAGGAGGGCATTCGGACGAACAGTCCGTCTCAGGACCGTGGAGATCATGGTCAATAAATAGCTCTCGCAGGCGGCGCGAAAGCAGGGAGATATTTGGCGATGGGAAACGGGACCGGGATCGGGGGGGGAGCGGCTCAAGAGGATGATCCTTTTAGACGAAGAGGACCGTCGACGTCGAACAATTGAAGCCTACGGGCAATTGAATGACGGATTGCACAAGACGAGGAGAAGGGGGGGAGGGAGAAGTAGAAAGACGACGCGGGATTATTCTGGGACGGCGAAGGTTGATGCTCGAGATTGTCGGACGGGAATCTTTCCTTGGGGCTGGAGTTTTTTGCGTTGAGCTCCGTCGCTGGATGGAGCTTGGGGTGCTAGTCCGAATCGGGCGCTAGCGCGTCCCTACAAAATACGCCGCAGGGAGGGACGGCCGTTAGGCGCACGTTGGCTCGCTGAGTGCACTGGGCGAGGCCTGGACAGCAGTCACGCAGTGCCCTGTAGGAGAGCCTGAGAGGGTACCTTACTCAGGTTTCGCCGATAATTGTGGCCGGTGCTTAACGCCAATGGCCAGTAGGGTCCGCAATCGCTTGGTCGCTGGGCGGTCTTGATTAAGACCGAGTGGCCTCAGGAACTTTTCGGACTTGAGCCGATGGAGTGGGAATAGCCCGGGAAAATAAGGGACCTCACCACGGACCGCCTGTCCAATGAGATCAGACAATGTTGAGAGAGGTGCGGGACTGCGGTGATTGTGCTCCATTCATTGGGCGATTGGCCGCAGTTAAACGCAGGCCCACACGTGACGACCGATAGCAGATAAGAGACGCGACGCTGGCACGTTACCACCTAAGGTACCCCCAAAAACAAAGACCCAAAAAAAAAAAAAAAAAAAGGCAAGGCCAAAAGAAGAACACGGATGCACTTGGCTTACCTCAGCTTCCTACCTTAGAAAACCTTGTCTCTGGTCTGTGCATCTCGAATTGCTGACATAAGGCAAGTAAAGACGAAGAGGTGGTCGCTCCCTGGCTCAGTCCGCCACGTAAACCAGATGGTCGAGTCCACCTAACATTAAATCGACCAGGGCCAGCTCGGATTACAGTGCCACCATCCGCATTCCACAGTGTTCGGTCCAAGCTTGCGAGTTCCCTCAACTTACGAGCAGCACTGCACCAACCGCTCACAGTGCAGCCATCAAGACGTGCACAGGAAGCAGGTAGCGGGAGGTGCCAGGTGTCTACGCCGTAGGTCTCCATCCCCCGAGCTAAGCGTGGGACAGAGCCAGGGGTCCCTCCATTCAAAGAAATTTGGACCGTCATTGCCATCTCCATCCTACCTGTGCTGTCCAATTCGCGAGGACCAGCAGACAACAGCATAGCGGTGCTGCTTCGTATTGCATTTCACAAGAAGCTGGGGCGACTCCATCACCAAACCTAGAAACCCGTCACCACCATTGACACCATCACCACCACGACTACAACAACCACTGACCCTAGCATAGCCCTCCCCAGCCACGACTCTT